GTGTGGTGGATGTCCTCACCGGGTGGGATGGGTGGGTAAAAAAAAGGGGTTAGGTGTCAATTGGAACGAAAGTTCTGTTCCTTTCTCCTGCCATTCCTGTGGCGAATCAATTAAACTCAAACTCAAACTGGGGTTGCCTCTGATCTTATTTAAAGTGGATCCTAACAAGAGACAACTCTTGCTTTGTAGTTAAGCCTGACCAAATTTTTTATTTTTTTATTGTTGTTTCATTGCCCTTCACTGCATGTAACTGTTGTACTCTTCATCTGCAGCCAAAGGCAGCAAATTCATTGCATCAGACCAGTAAGGAAGAAGAATCGGAGAGCCTACACACAACTCTTGTGCTGTTCTCAGCTGATGATGAATTCACCACAAAACAGGACATGTGCTTGTGCTGTGGAAGTTTTGGCAAGGGTCCAGAAGGGCAACTGATAATGTGCTCACAGTGTGGGCAGTCTTACCACCCCTACTGTGTTGGTGTTAAGGTAAGGAGAATTTGCAAAACAATCAAGAGCTTCTTGAGTTCAGGATCATTTCCTTTATTCTCAGGACCTTAATGTTTTGATTCATGGGTGAGAGTGTTGGGAGAAATTAGATGCCTATCGTTCTTTGGGGTTGAAGAGTTAAGAGTTCATAGAGGCACACTTTTGATGTTGGTTTTGGTTGAGAGGGGGTCTTGTTACAAGTTTTGGGTTTATTTTGGTCCAGTCTTCCATCCAGTGTACAGTATACATGTACATGTAGCTTCAAAGCAGGCTCTTTATGAGGGCTTCAGCTCTAGCATTTCTTTTTGGTGGGAAAGTATGAACTCTTGAGCAGTGTGAGCCAGTGAGAAATCTGTGAGGGGCCTAGCACTAGTGCCAGACCCCCATCAAACCTCTCCCTGACTTATCTCAATTCTTCCAGAAGGCAGAGAAATGCATGTTCTGCAGAGCTAGTAATGAAAGCGTGCTTGCAGACTATATGCAGTATGGCAATCACTCACACATGGTTTCCTCAAGGGGTTGCTATAGAAATAAGTGCACTTGGATCAAGGTAAAAGAAGATAAAACAGTGCACATCAGCTACCTATTGTTGTATTACACAATATTGTTTAACAAGTATTTCTAAGAGAGCTTTGAAGATATGGAGAAATTGATAAGAGTTTGATCATACACAGGTCAACAAAGTAATCTTGACAAAAGGTTGGCGTTGCTTGGATTGCACTCTCTGTGAGGGCTGTGGAAAAGGAAGTGACGAGGCTCGTCTTCTACTCTGTGACAGCTGTGACATCTCGTATCACACCTATTGCCTTGACCCACCATTATGTCATGTTCCTCAGGGTGGATGGAAGTGCAAATGGTGAGTATTAGCAAAAAAAAAAAAAACTTGAAAGGCAATATTCTATATCAATTCTCTGTGCGGAAGTGTGAATTACATTTTTCCAGAAAGTCTGCAGGGAATGTTGTGGTCTGTTAACATTTTCGCTCCCACAGGTTGTTGGTGTATTTATTTTTTCTCAAAGTTTAATATGTGTAGAGTAGACTATTAAATGGAATTAAGAACGTTATGAACTAGGGAGAGTGCTTTTAACACAAAATGCTCAGCACTAGTTGACAAAGAAAGATAATGTTAATTGGTCATTAGAATTTGCTTTTGGATCTTGCTTAAAGAACTGTTGTATCTTTTAGGTGTGTGACCTGTTTTGACTGTGCAGCTACCACACCTGGAGTTGGTTGCCAGTGGATGTCAAATTACACTCAGTGTGGGCCTTGTGCTAGTAAAACAATCTGTCCTGTCTGCAAAATCAAGTACAACACCAATGACCTTATGATACAGTGTGCACATTGTGACAGGTACATGTAGATAATTTTCAATGTTCATACTTGACTTCAGGGAATTAGATGGTCTTGAGAATGCTATCACAAGTAGGAAGCACCTTTGATTACCCTGTTGTGTTACCTCCTGATCGATGTGTTTTATTTAGGCAATAGACAGCACTTTTAATGAGTTTACTGATGTAATAACCCACATGGGATGTTGGGAGAACACACACACACATAAAATTGTAAATCAAAGCTTTGAAAAATAATTACAGAAAGAAAGTCAATCCTTTGTGTGAGCTTATCACTATTTGCCATTTGATTTGTGTTTTAGTTTTGATGCCCCTGAGAAAGTTGCATTCTAGCTGACTTGAACATTCTTTGTTTCCTTCCACCAGGTGGCTTCATGGCTCATGTGACGGTCTTGTCAGTGAAGAAGAATTGGATAGGGCCGCAGAATATGGATATCACTGTTTGTATTGTCGTCCCAAAACCAAGCGTGCACTTGTCGGTGTCAGTGGTATGTCTTGTAGAACCTCATCTGCTTCCCAACCTTTCCTCACCTTCTTATCTTCTGCTGGAACTAACACTCTGCATGGTTAGTAATTTTCGTGCTGTGCACCCCTCAAAATGCCCTCCACAATGCACTAAGCAGAGACAACTGTCGCAAAGGCTTTACAAAAGGAGTGTACCACATTCAGTTTTTCAAGTGAACCCGGGAAGTTGTTCCTTGACATTTTGTTGGAGCGTTAGACAACATTAAACTGTTTACTATCTCGAGCAAGAACAGCCAGTTTTTTTTGTTGTGATGTCAGTCAACATTTATCGTAGGAAAGCATGAAACAGTCCTAATTTTGTTCTCACACATTTACTGCAAAAAGCAAAAACACAAACCTCTGTGTCAACAGAGTCCAGTACTTAATGCATTTGGACACCAAAATTTAGCTTTTTGATGACCCAAGTAAGGTAGTTGAACTCAATCTGAACTTGTTTTTTCCCTCTTTGTTTCTTTTAAGTTGCACAAGTCTTGATTTGAAGGGTGTTGAAGGAAATCTGTTCCTTGTTTATTCTGTTCTATTACTTACACCATCTGGTTCTCTCACTCACTGTGTCTTATTTCCTTTGCTGTTTTGTGTGGACATCTCTGTAATTAACTACTATTGATATTTATTACACGACTCGGGCAGTCAGAGGGCCAATAACTAAAATCAGCCAATCAAAATGCTCTATTGCTGATCCAATATTCGCTCAGTATTGGATCGGGCACTGTCCCGAATGGTCCTGAATGATACCGCACTTGCGTCCCTTTGACCTTCAGTCGTATAATAAATCTCTTATTAACCAAGCTTGCTCGGGGCCATACTGGAAGAATAGTGGCCCTCCGTCTTTTTTGTACGGACCGAGCGCAGCGAGGTCCATACTGTCAAGACCTCGGGCCGATATTCTCCTAGTACGGCCCTCATGCTTGGTTAATAAGATATATATATTTTTGGCATGTTTGCTAAGGAGGCTATTGTGTGTATCATGCTTTGGTAGATTATACACATCTTGTACCTAGGAGTTTTGCTGTGTGTGTTTTGTTTTAAAAAAGCAACTGTTTGGAGTTTGAAGGTTTGAAGGCCTTAAGGACTGGAAGACTCAGAAATGTAGCGCTATTTTCAGTGACATATGTTGAAGCCACTGCAACCTTAATCCTCTTGATGTAGCCTTGTCTTTCAAAGCTGTCAATGTTGGTTTAGGAAGGAAACCAAACTTGTTCCATTTTTGTGCCATCTCACTTGGAATCACCAAAAAGAAGGGGTTTTATTAGTTGACTAACTTTCAGTTGATATTCATGCAGATGTTGTCGTAGAACTGGGGTTTATATCTCTTGTCAGGTCCCCCATCACCAAGGGCTACAGCTTTACACCATTATCGACCTCAGTCTCTAAATGATGATCTACAGTCTCAACTCGATGGAAAGCCTTTACATCCCTGTCAGCGTGTCAACAACAACTTGGTTGAACTGAAGCTATCAAACCACTTCAACAAAGTGCAGATAACAGCTCCCTTTTCGGGTAACACTATTGAACTGACAGAGTCTGGTCTGCGGCACATGAATAGGCTAAAGTTACCACCAAGCAGTAGGAGGCGAGTGGTCAAGAGCAAGCTGAAGCCTAAAAAGTTTAGCACGCCTACCGGTCCAGTCAAGAGGAACAGCTTTGCAGGCCACTGGCAAGACAAAGATGTCATGTTCAATAGGGCTGTCGTGGAAGATGGTAGCATGGATATGATGGATGATATGGACAGCATTAAACACAAGTCACCCCTGGCTCCATCCAGAGTCAGTAGATCCAGGCAATCTAATGTGGGGCGCCCAGGAGTTGGTGGATTTGTGCTGCATGGTCGTGGCTCAGGAGGGAGGAGATATGCTGGTCGTGGTGCTCGAGCAAATATGAAGAAGAAAGGGCCTGCATTTGCTCCAACAGCACAGGGGCCTTCCAACTTGAATCATTTGGGAAATCAGCTGTCACAGGTTATTATTACACTTTTTGAAACAAAATGCAATTATGAATCTTGAAATTTCTTTCTTTTGAATTTGTATCTTGCCTTTTAGATAAGTTGTGGGTAGCTTTTTTTCTTCTGGTCCGTTTGATTATTTATTTTATCTTCTGTTGTGTTCGTTATCACAATCCAACATCAACAGAGGTGTAAATTAAAGTGGTTTGAAAAACGTACAGAGGAAATATTTTAGCCATAACAGATTTGGGAAATTTGAAAAGTACAACGGATATAAACTCACGTTGTGAAGGAGGTACATTGTAATTGACTTTGATTGTTTGATACTTACAAATACTTTGTAACAGAGTGTATTTAATAACATAACAGAGCAGTAGACCAAAATGTGGTCACTCTAAACAAACCGTAATGGTGTTTTTTCCTTTTTTTCTTTCTTTTTTTTTTTTTGCTGGCATGTGTAGCAAACTTATCCGAGTGGAATAAGTAGTCCTTCCTTTGGTAGCAAACCTTCTCCATTCACTGAGTTGGAGCCTTCACTAAATCAAGTAAGCAGTGATTGTTGGGCTGATGCATCTGATGAGAATGCTCTGCAGGAGTCCTATCCTAAGTGGATTCAGGTACAGTCCTATTTTGTTGTGGCTTTTACGAGTTTTGGGTCATTTTTCATTGAGTGCTGTATATTGGAATTCCGGTACTTATTTGACGCATTGTGGTTGATGTTTCAACGCCTTTTGCGATATTTTTTTCATTTTAGGAGGCGTTCTTTGGCAAAGACCTTCTAGATACACTCGGTAGAGAGAAACGATCAAAGCACGGTGGCAAGACACCGTCAACCCCTTCTGAGGATGAAGATAAGGCAAACCAAGACCCTTTTGTTGTGAGACAAAGTTCAATTAACCCTGAAAGGCAGCAGGCGTCGTTTGATGGCTCAGGACAAGTTCCATTTCAGATGATGCCTGGGGAAGAGAGGCAGCATCCTGGTCATTCAACAGGTTATCCAAGAGGAGCATTGAGTGCACATGACAAGTAAGAAATGTTGTAAACTGTTAAGTTTTAAGAACTTCCTCCACCGGTCAAAAAAACGTTGATGTTGGCCAAAATTCAAGTTAACAATGTTAAAAAGGTTGGCAAACCGTTTCAGAGCGCTTTTTAAAGCTGCCAATTCAATTATTCTATATCTTCTTCTTATGAAATTGGATTTCATGTAGTGTTAAATCCCTGAGTAATTTACCTTCCTTTGCCATTAATAAATGGAAATAAACCTTGACTTTTCTCGTGATAAATGGATATGTTATACATTTTCTTAGCTGGCAGCAATCTGCCAATGCAGACCCATTTCCATCACACGCCATCAACCTGACAGAAGACGTCCCCAATCCAGATGCTCTGTACAGGTCATTGGATATGCTAACAGATGACTTACCAGGAACTCAGAATGATTCTCATTCCACAAACAGAGGTTACTGTACCTTAGTATGCTAGAGACGTTGTCCACATCTAATTAAAGTTGAAGTGTTCACTGTTTTGCTGGTTAAATTTTTGCCTTCTTGTGCAGCAAGCTTCTCCTTCTGTGCCGCAGCTCATAAACTTGTATCATTTGTCTTGGAAAGAAAAGGCCCAAGAGCCAAACCTTTGAATGAAGCTCAAACCCCAAAAAATATTGTTACAGAACGGCTTTTGATCATGGAAAGTAAGACGAGGGAAAAAATCAACAAAAAAGGAAAAGTTGTAGCGTCAGAGGTTAATTTAAGAAATTATGGCAAAGGATCTCTTCCACCAACACTGCGTTGAGCGATCTCTTACCTCCCCAGAGAACACGGCAGTTGAGAACTAGGTCGCATAATTATATTTTGCCTAAGGTTCCGACAAGCCGTTTTAAATCAGTTTTTATTAATAGATGTCTTTTCAATAGTAATTAATACCTTTTCTTTTTCCTTATTCATTCTATTCATGTTAATTGTTGCACGTCTGTTTGCACAATAATTCTCAATAAAGACCTTTATTATTATTATTATTATTATTATTATTATTATTATTATTATTATTATTATATTAGTGGCTAAACCGTAGTTGTGAAGATAATTGTGAGCTGAATCTTGGATTTTTTCCCCCGATGTTGAACAGAAGGTGCGGCTTACATAGCAAACTTTGCTGTGCTCTAAATCTTACTTTTTTATGTTGTTTTACCTTTATAGTACTTCAACCGCCAGCTTCTCAGCATCCTTCACCAGCACCCACTTCTCAATCACATATTCCCACCGCAGCTTCTTCTTGGAATCAAACCCAGACTCGCCCTCAGGGAAATGACCTTGATATTCTTTGCAACACTGGAGACATCTTACCTCATGTGGATGGGCAAGAAGTGGAAGAGATCTTCATGGATATTGAAAGAGAAATGAACATTGGACCGCTGAGTTTTCTGGATTCTGAAATGGACAACAACGTGGCCAACGTGCAAGAGCAGTTTCCACCACAGAGTGATAATTCTGTGTCAGGTCATGGTGTAGGCTTTCAAGCAAGCCAACATCCAATGAGTGTTTACAATCAAGGCACCACTAATCAGGGGTACAATCCTGGCCCAACACACTTTCAGAGTGGAGGATCGGGTTATCAACGGGGCCCTCAGAATCACATGGATGGCTTTACTAATTCTGTTGTTCCAGGTCAAATCGGTTTCAACCACAATAATACATTCCCGAGAGGGAACGAATTCGATCTAGATGATCTTCCCAGGGAGAGACGCAGACCTCCAAGTCCACGGGTAGACCCAATGAAACAACAGCAGAAGTGGGAAGAAGATGAAAAGCTCGGTGCTACAGCAACAATATCGCCAGTACTATATGCCAACTTGGAACACATTAACTTGAAGCAGGAGTATCCAGGTAAGTGACGCTTAGCAGAAACGGTAAAAGAGTGAACTAAATTCAGGTTTCCTGAGGTGTGGTTTGCAGATAGGATAGAAGTACAAATTTCGACGTGGATTTACTATTGGCTTGGTCTTAATGTGTCGTCTTAAATAGATATTCCACATATAATTGTCATTTCATCCAGTTGCTATACGTTAATTTTACATGTTATTTTTAGGTATTTTCACTTAATTGGAACCTCATTAAACTCCTAGCTTGATTTATCAGGCAGAATTCCAAAACAGATTTTGCGGTAGACAATCGATTTAATTAGCTGTTGTCTTTAATTTCAAATAGAGTTTGGTGATTATAGGATTATAGAGTGTGGTGTACTTACAGGCGTTATCAACTCAGCGGTTGTGATGTTATATAACATTGTCCCCAATAAAAGCCGGTTTTTTTTTTCTTTATTGATCATAATTACATGTCACTTTTCAATTTGTCGTAGACTGGCCCAACAGATACAGAGCAATTGCAAGATTATGGCGAAAACTTTCAGTTGAGCAAAGGGAACCGTACAGGGTAAGTTTAATTTCCTTATCATGAAAAGTTCTGCCATTACAATGTTTTGATGAACATCTCTCAGTGTTGGTTGGCTATATTTTTATTTGGTCGGACCTTAGTTGTAGTAACTCTTATCAATGCGTCTTAATTTTGTCGTGAAATACACAGTGCACAATTGAAACGCAGTCTCATGTACGGTAATCTGTTTGCAGTTAAAGGCCAGGGACAACCGTGTTAGACTGAAAGACCAGGGGAAAAAGGTATGTGTTCATTTTTAAGTGTAATGGTATCAAGGCGTTACATTTTTCACCTCTGTACGGGTTTAAATTTTTCTAAACGAAGATTACGGCAGATTAAAAATGTGTCATTTTGAATAAATAATCAAAAATAGAACTGGACGTACAAGTTAGAGGGAACGTAATTCAAATGCTGAGAAGAATAGTGTTTTAAAAAAAGGGATATGAAGTCGTCGAGCTAGCCACTTCTGTCTGCAGTGTGATTGTAAACAAAAAACATAATTTCATTTACCTTTCTTTCTTTCCCCCGCAGCTGATTGCAAAAAACGAGGAGAAAGCAAAGTTAGAGTCCCAGAAGGCGTTGCAAATAAAGCAGCAGCAGCAGCAACAACAACAACAACAACAACAACAACAACAGGAGCTGCAGTTACAGGAACAACAACAGCAAATGCAGCACCAGCAGTTAGAACAACAACAACAGCAAATGCTACAGCACCAACAGCAACAACAACAGGCTCTACAGCTACCCTCTCAATCTTCACAAGGTCAATCTCTACTGCATCAGCATGATCAGCGTACAGCGTCTACATCTCTTTGTCCAGTCACAGAAAGTGGAATGCTTCCAGTAAATAGTGTCATGCCCGTTCCCCTCACACCTAGCACACCTGCAAGGTCAATTACACCTGTGACACCTGGCACCCCGGGCCCCTTGACCCCAACCACGCCCACCACACCCACGTTCAGTCAAGTGATGGGTCACCCCCCAATTGGACCTCCGATTCCAGCAGCTATAGCAGGTCATCAGTCTTCAGGCAAAACTACGAGTAACAAAGGTAAAAAAAGTAAAGAGGAAAAAGAGAGAGAGAAAGAACTGAGAAAACAGAGACTTCGCATTCAACAAGAGCAGGAGCGACAGTGGAAAATCCTCCAGCAGAAGAGAGCCTTGGAGCAACAGCGTCAACAACAGCAACAGCAACAAGAGAATGTCTTGCTTCGACAGGAACTCAAAAAGCAACAACAAGCAAAGGGAACTAAAGTACCTGAAGAACAGAAGAAAAAGCGTTTATCCAAAAGTGGAAGACGAGCCTCCTCGCAGGCATCTAAGGCTACTGACAAATCTGGAAGTGGCTCACATGACTCACCGCATCTTCAAAATAGCATGGCACCCCCTGAAGGCGCTGACAGTAGAGTAGAAGAACAAGTATTACCTGCTGGCCCTTCATTTTCATCAGCACCCAGAGCTAATGCAAACGCTCTTGCATCTACCAGTCAATATCAGCATGAATCGTCTCTCGACTTTTTGACTCCTTACGATGCACAACGCAATGGATTGTTAGGAGAAAGGCAGAGTGATGGAAGTGCGAATTCTAGTCATCATTCCTCAAACTCAAATGCAGGTGACATCCATTCTGCACAGGCAGGTGCCAACCACCAGTTTCAGAGATCTACGCTTTGGGAGAAGGAACATGGGGAAGAGGCAGTTCATCATACTGATGGATCAATCTGGCAAAAGTCACAGAGCTGCAGTGAACTTCAAGACCAGAAACAGACTAATCGCTCGTTAAGTTTAAACCAAGTTTCACAGGCACATGAAGGTTCTAAGCATAATTTGTGGGGTTGTGACAACTCGCAACCTGAGACGATTCAAGATCAGACGGGAAGAGAAAACGCTGAAGGCAAGGTTCTATTTCTTGAACAAAACACAGGACCTTTACAAGAAGGGGTCCGAGAAGAACAGAATTCCCAAAATAACTATGGTGCCCACGAGCAAGTCGTGTTTAACAATGAAAGACAACAATGGTCCCATCCTCATGTACCTGCAATTCCTTCAACTCAAGCACCAATGCTAAATCAACAATTGAGTTCTGATAGTGGACAAATTATGCACCAACCAGCTGTATCTGACGCCTTGCAGGCTGTTCCTTTTTCAGTACCACAGCAAACGGCATTAAAACCCACGGAGCAACATCTGCAGCAAGCTATGGAATTGCAACAACCTCCTCAACAAATTCCTGTTATGCATTGGCAAGAGGAGCTGTCACAAGTTCGAGCCCAGGTGGCTGCTGCTCATGACCTTCATCCCTCTCATTCTGTTGCTCCTTCCTCAGCTCTTGCACCTCCTCCAGTTGCACCACCCCCACCCCCATTGACATCATCCCAGCAACCGCCTACCATTCCACAACAGCCATACGAACTGAGTTCTGGATGGCTACATCAGGGCCAGTTACCTTCTCAGGTACAGACACAACCAATGGTAACATTCCCACAGCCACCTCAACCCCACCAGGTACATGGTCCTACAACTACGCAAGTGGCAATGCCTCAGACACCATTTCAACCTCCACCTCAGATCCCTATCCAGCTGCCACCCAATCATCCCACCAACCAACCCATGTCAAATCAACCTCAGGATAGTCAATTGCAACAGCCACAACAACAGCAAGATGTGGTTCAGCGACAACAAAGAGACCAACTCATAAGAGCCCAACAGCAACAGTTTTTTCAGATAATTCAGCAGCAACAGGCGATTCAACATCAGCAACAGGCGATTCAACATCAGCAACAGCAGCAACAGCAGCAACAGCAACAGAATGCTGCTATCCAACCAGGATTTGCAAGGGCACGGTTCAATACAGCTATCAACACCAAAGATCTGCCTGAAATTGACACCGAGGAGGAACACCAGGAACGGCTTCGTTTTCTCTATCGTCAACGCCAAGCACAAAAACAGCAACAGATGCAGGTGCAAGCTCAACTGATGCACCAAGCTTGGATTCAACAGCAACTTGCTGCTGGGGGTAGTCAAGGAGTGGTTCCACCAGGTGTACTGGCAATGGATTCATCCAACCCTCAAATGTTGCAACAGTTTGCTCAACAAATGCGTCCTCAAATGCCGGACATGACTCAGCAGCAATTGCTTGCTGAATATCAAAGGAGAATGACGCAGCGGCAAGACATAGGCCAGCAGACCGTTCAATATGATAAGGTATTGCAGGAGTTCCAACAACAGCAAGGGATTCCTGGTGGAAGTGCTCATGCTGTAGGCCCTTTCATTGAAGTCCCTCATCAGAGATTTGGCTTGAGACAGCCAACCCCTATAGTCCAACCAGGTTTGAAGCCTATAATGCCATATGGGGGACTTGATGGACAGTTCATCGGTCAACAGCAGCAACTGTACAAGATACAGTTGCAGCAACAAATGATGATGCAGCAGCAGAAGAAGGAAACATCCAATAAGAGCACCCTTCGAGCAAGCCCTGTTACAGGAAAGGCTAATGCAGAGGAAAGTGGTGGTGAAGTCAGTGGGAATGTTCGTGATGATAAGCTAAATGGCACAACTGTGTTGTCAGGTAACACCAACTCTGAAGCTGAAAAACTCCCTGATAAATCTGTGGAATCCGGAACAGAAAATGAAAAGCAACTGAGTGAAGGAAAAGGTAACAGTACAAGTGGAACAAACCAGGTGGCCAGTGATTCTGGCAAGACATCCTCTGAGTTTGTAAAGGGCGAGAAGTTAGAGAACGCTATATCTGAGAAAGACCATTGTAGTGGTGACCATAAAAGCGACCAGGATAGTAGAGAGGTTAATGATGCGAGAGGAACAAACAGCTATGAAGAAGAGACTGGCACCCCAAATTCTAAAGATGTAAGTGCACATATACCAGGGAGGTCAGATGATCCTAACACCACAACTGTACAAAGGGAAGAACTATGTAATGTTACCTGTCGGGAAAAGAAAGCTAGTAAAGACGAAGATGTTGAAAAGGACCTTGCCATGGCCAATGTAAATTGTGATAGCCCTTCAGATGAAATATGCTCAAATGTCGCAAATGAAAATAAGTATGAAGGTGGAAATGAATCGGAAAGATGCTCTGAAGAACGAGAGACTTGTATTGAACCACAGGGGGAGCAGGCGTCAGGTTCTCAGGCTCTTGATTCAAACAAATTGGATGGAGCTGCAAACTTGAAAGAAGTGTCGCGTCAAGAAGGGAAGCGCCAATCTAAACCTGAACCTTTGCTTGAAACCAACCAGGCACCTATTCAGCCACACAACGCAACCAGTCAGGTAACTGCAGTACCTCCTCCTCAGCCCCAGCATTTCCTCTATCAACAGCAATTTTTGTCATTACAGCAGTCCTTTGTACAAATGCAACAGCAAAGACAAGTTCTTGTTCAGCAGTACCAACAGTTGCAACAGCAACTGCACCAGGCTGGAGGACAAGATCCAGTACTGGCAGGTCAGGTAATGACTGTCCAATCGCAAGGACAAGTTCTCCAACAACAGATGTTACAAGCCTGGCAACAAATGCAACTTATACAACAGCAGGTGCAGCTTGGGGGAACAGCACATCAGCAGCTTGCAATTCAGCAACAGCCACAGGCCCAACAGCAACCACTTGTGGCTCCCCAATGGCCTTCAGGAGTCCCACAAGGACATTCAGTGGCAACACAAGCGGGAGTGTTTCCTGTGAGGCCCAGTGTTATGGCAGTCCAGGGCCCTTTACAGCCGGGCATGCCACTTGTAGAGAAGGTAGGAGCTGTATGCTTTTAACAGAAACTAACTTCCCATCACATTTCTTAGCAAGACTCAGGAAACCTCATAATGGCCGATTTTTCTTTTTTAACTAGTTATACCAATGATTAACACGTTTCCTTTTTGTTCAGGGACTTGAACAGAAACCAAAATCAAGGTCGAGGTCCAAAAGCAGGGACACGCCTCAACCATCTCCAATTAGACAACAAAGCCCTGCTATCGACTGGCAGCCACCAAAGGGAAAACAGTCTAAAACAAGACAGAGGAAACCCAAAAAGTCAGAACCGCAAGCCAATGATCCAGATCTTGAACGTCAACAGCAAGTGCTTCAGCAACAAATATACCAACAGATGGAACAGCGGCATCGGTTGATGAAGCAGAAACAGGGGGTTTTCGTTGAACAGGGTCAACAGCCAGTTGTGCAACCTCCAATGCCATTACAACAACCTGGGCAACAGCCTCAAGTATCTCTTCCGCAAAACATGGTTGAACACCCAGGAATAATAGCACAGCCATCCATTGACGGCACCCATCCAATGCGACCTCTGTCGCACACACCAGAGCTTTCAAAAGGGCAACGGCCTGATTCACAAGTTAATTTCCCACCTGGTACACCAGGACCTCAGATGCCTCTTCCATCCAGTACTCAGATTCCTCCGGGATATCCCCACGGTGCAGAACAAAGTTCTTTTTCACAAAGGTTCCCAACACCTGAGCATTATCTTCAGCAATTTGGTCAACACCCCAACCATCAAAGGCAACCACAAGTTCATTATGTTGCTGAAGCAAACAACCCTTTCAGTGACCAGTTTCAAGGGCTACACAGCAAAGGCAGGGGCAGAGGAGGGGCAAAGAAAACGTCTGGCTCTAGAAAGCCCGGAAAACCTCGCAGCAAGAAGACAGCAGAAGTTGAAGCTCCTTCAGAGGCGGATCTCCAACAACAGCAGCAGACTAATCCTACTTTATCGGAGCAAAATCTCCAGGGCCTTGGCCTTACCCCATCTCAGCAAGCACAGGCTATAAAGCTGGAAAGGCTGGAATCGGAAGAATCGGTTCCTCAAACACCCGACGCTCAACAAAGTGGCTTATATACCGGCTCCACTGGTGCTGGTGAAGGTGAATGTCCCGATGGTAAAAGTGAAAGTCATGGTGCTGTAGGGCAAGAGGTGAAAGAGAAACCATCAGAGGAAGTATTTGCGGAGCAGTGTATTGAAGCGAACTCACTTTCAGCCACTGGCGAGAATAGTAATTGTCATGCGCCATCTTTAAGAAATGAAGAAAGTGATGCCAACTTGTCCAACGAGAAGACGAATACTACAGAGAACGAAATTCCAGCTTCCGTACAAAACGATTCTAGTGAGTCTGCTGATGAGAGTAAACAACCGTGTGATGGGACTGGGTTGGAAGCATTACAAAAACTTGAATCGATGGTTGCAGACATGGCTAACGAGGAGGAAGCCTGTAAGGAGCTGGAAAAGCAGAGTGAATTGGAAAGAATCCACTTGCCTTTAGATGACGATGTTTATGACCCGGAAATGGACAAGATCTACGAGAGAGACTTCATGGTAGAAGAAACTCAGTTTGAGCAGTGTTTGTTATCTCCAATTAAAGCTGTGGACAATGGTTCTCAGGCAAATTCTGTAGCATCGCTGGAGTGCCACGAAGAAAGCCTCATTTCGCCTTTGCTTGAGGAAACGGAAAGACGTAAGGAACGTCAAGCGTTTTTCGCTGAATCTGCTTCCAGTGAAACAGCGGTCGCAGATAACAAAATTGCGGATTTGGGAAAACCTGAAGTAGGAAAAGAACATCAGACCGAAGAAGCAGAGCTGACTCCTTCAGAATCAAGTAAACATGCTGCTTGTAATGTTACAAACAAGAATGGAGTGGAAAAGGTGGATCATATTTCAAGAAATGCTCATCCAACAGCTGGTCAAGAAAAGGTTGTTGAAGAAACCAGGAACGATATGTTGCAAGACGCGAACATTGCTGACCAAGACTCCCAGCCACAGGAAAGAGACCTCAATCCGACACCAAGTGCACAAGCGGATGTCTCGCGCGTTGCTGAGGTGAAAGAGAACTACAGCGATTCTTTTACCAATCAAGGAATTGAGACAGCTGTTCCTGAACTAACTCCATCTACTTGCGAAACCATAGAAAGTGTCGCACCTCCAGTCAAAACTACAAGTGAAGTACCCTTAGTTAATAGTGTGGCACCTGTCGTCACAAGTAATGGTGAGGTGCCTCTAGCCTCAGGCGGTGAGCATAGACTTGTGGCGGAGCAAATTAACTGCACCGTACCTGTGAACAGCCAGGAATCCTTACCCCAACAAACAGCTAACGTGGCGAGTACAATTGGCCCTGAGGCTCTGCATGGAACAGTTGGCCAGATACCCGAAGCTCTCGACCATAATCAGAGTATCCAACCGGAAAGGCGTACTCCATCAAATCCTGCTCGTCCAGCAAATGGCGAGAAACCTGCAAAGACACCCAAGCCGTCGAGTCGGCCAAAAAATCCCCAGTCCAGTGGAGAGGGCCCGGTAAAGAAGAGGCCACAGGCGAAGGAGGAAGACCCCATGAAGAAAAAGCTGCAGGAGCTACGTAGGCAAGAATATGAGCGGAAGAAACGTGAGTACGAGGAACAGCAAAAGAAGAAGCGTGAACTCCAGAAGGAACTTCGTATCCAGAAACAGATGATAAGAGAGCAGAGGAAGAGGCAACGGATATACATAAATTCAAACAGCCGCAACAAACAGAAGACAGAAATTGAGAGCAATGCGAGCAATTCCTTGAAGATTTCCACTCCTAACAACACTCACAGGGATCTCAAACCAGCTACACCACTTTCCCTTTGTGAACCAAAGTTGCTTTTGACCCATGCTTTAACACATCCGTATGGCAGCAGGGCTTTCAACGGGCAGTGTCTCCTTAAAGGAAACTTTGGATCTGCTAAAGTGGATGGCATGGTGGACTATTATGCACAGTTTCCATCATCTGACATGGACATTGTAGTGGGGCATCCACCCACCCCACCCTCATCTCTCCCGCCGTCACCTGGAATACATCAACACCGGACAGATTCTAGTGGAAAACCGCTTGTCAATGGCGATGCTTCTCCCGAAGAACGCGAGGGAACCGAATTGGCTCATCTAAGCAAACCATCAGCAAGCAGTCAGGATACCGAACATCAAGCAAAACGAGCTCGGTATACAGGCGTTTTAGAAACTAGTAAAGGTGGTGTCAGTGTTCCCCCGTCAATGCCCACTCCACCGCTCTCAGATTCAGCAGCAACCGTCAGCGACAGATTAGTTGAAATAATTTCATCTGTGGGACATCTCCCCGAAGAGCGCGCAGAAGCTAATGGAAAGGAGTCCAGCAGTAGTTCATCCTCAACCTCCCCCGAAACAGTTCAGTATATAGCATCCTCTTCTCCTGAATCAGATGCTGTCAACAGAGTTCAGACCCCTCAGTTTTCAGCACTGGTGCATCGTGACAGCACAGATTCCCCAACATTCCCGGCAGTGGCAATCAAACGCGAGCAGGTAGAACATTACCTTGACAACCGAGCTTCATGCAGTCAATCTTGTGGCAATTTTTTGGAGGATGGTTTCGTGCAAACTACGTGTAAATTGGAAGCGCACAACTCGTCAAGGCTCGAGAACGATACGGACGATTTGGATAGTATAAATGTGACACTAACTCTGTCGCCTACTTCAGAGCAAAGAGTAACAGAAACTGTAGCATCAGTAGCAGACTTGATAGGCTGCTCTCCACCCAGGCACTCTGACATTGTCATTGAGCCCGCAGGAAAAGGCTTTGCTACCAAAGGGTTTATGGCGACCCACTCACTGACGACTCCAGGTGGAGATAATTTAAGTAATTCTATAGCTCCCAGGAGTCATACGTCATCGGACATTTATCAAAAGCAGCCCTTTTCTTGTTCGCAGTTGAGCTTATCACCCAGCGAGGAAAAGTCCTCACGCAAGAAGCCCGAGGGGCCATATTGTAGGCATTGTGACGTTTTGATAATAGGCATTGGAGTTAAAAGAAAACCAGAAGACGACGCTGGGAAGACTACGGAAACAGCTGAATTGAATAGGACACAGCCTGATGCTGGAGACTATAAAATCTATGGAGTCAATGTCGAAGCTGGCGACTGTACAGGGGACATTTTCTGTTCGGAAGCTTGCTTAAAACAATATTTCGCGCATTTCGGATCTGCATGTTCCTCGCCCACACGGGAATGCAAACCAGACGTCAGTGTTAGAGAGCCTCCTTTAGAAGCGACTGTGACGTCAGTTGGTCAAACAAGCATCGGAGCAGGGAATGTAACGACAGTGAGTGATGTGGAGACTCGGGGGAGTCTCGTGGCCGATGGATTATCGCCGACATCTTTACGAAAAATACGCAGTCCCAGCTGGAAGGATGAAGACGAAGATGAAGAGGTAAGTTGAGTTCTGTACAAAGTATTTTGAGCTGTTATTAATTTGTTTTACCATTGTGTTCCTGAAATATTGGATGGGTAAAAGTATTCCCTAAGGCAGGGTGGACTCTTCCCTGTCAGAGCTCGAGTTCCATTATTCACGAGAATAATCTTGGCTGCTGTGTTTGCAGACGAAGATTTCTAAGCGACAGCGTCGGTTACGGTGGAAAAGATGGCAACAGAGCGAAGAAGCCAAGAGCGACAACAAACAACGGATAGAGTTGACACCTGAGGAATCAGCTGAGGTACGTAGAGCTAACAATAGATTGGGAGTCCGTTTTGTAATGTAACCGCCCCTAACAATCTGGGTTCTGGTTATTTTGCAGCTTCTGGAGAAACACAACGAATCATTGAAGCCTCCTGCCAATACAGTAGATGACTTGAGGACGTGCACTCTTTGTGGTGCGAAAGGAGACGGTGATAACAATGCGTCAGCCCGGTAAGGATATTCTTCCCAGTTTTGACCCGGTTGCATTTCCAAAAGGCTTCTCTTCCTCCAGATGGATGCAAACGTTGCTATAAGCTCTTTTTGTTTCCAGATGTCATAACAAATCTGTTTCTAGCCAAACGTTGACATTTTTTTGGCTAGATTGATAGCTAGGGCTAAGAAATAACTGTATGGGATCAGATGTGTCGTTTCACCACGCGTCGCAAAAGTGAGCTATTTTAAAAGTTATAGACGAGTAACGTGGCAGTTAAGGCAACCATGATAGAAATTGTTTTTTACCTTGTCAGGCTGTTGAATCTAGATGTCGACGTGTGGGTTCATCTCAACTGTGCTCTCTGGTCCTTGGAAGTTTACGAAACGCTTAATGGCGCATTGATGAATGTCGAGGTGGCTGTGAAGCGAGGGACTGTTACGGTAGGTATCATGAGCTGCAGGGAAACCAGCAACTAATTTCTCCTTACAATATCAGCCCCCGAATCACACATTTGTGTAACTAGTATAAAGGAAATGATCGCCAACTAAAGAAGTTCTTGATTGTGTAACAAATTCTCCTGTTCAGCACTTAAGGAAATGTATAAAGGATAGTACAGAGAATATGCATATTGATGTTAAGTTATGAAGAGTTAAAGAACTTTTCTTTAAGCTAAGTTCACCCCCTTTATTTCTTTCTTCAAGTGAGCAAATACTAAGACGAATAAAATCTGGAATGATTCATAACAAGATACCAGTTTCGTGATTAAAGCCTTAACGGCTGTGCATTTTCTTTTTTCACCAGAATTGTGTGGTTTGCTACAAAAGGGGCGCTACTGTGTCGTGCAAGCAGAAGATTGGCCTCTCCAAGATCGGCTGCCCAAACAATTATCACTTCAGTTGTGCCATCTCTAAGGGATGTTTGTTCCTAAAGGACAAGGTAAGCATATGTTCTTTCCAAGTAGGATTTTATGACTGGTTATAACGCTCATTGATTTGTTGGTTTTGTAGACTTAAATATAATTTCAACCAGCCCGAGGAGTCGGTTCTTATATGACAAAGCAGTTGATTTAGTAACAGCACCTCGATAGCTGAGTTGAATTGTCTTTATTTTGTTTTGTTCATTTTTTTGCTAGACCATGCTGTGTCATGAACATAGACCAGAAGCCGCGGTGCTCGGAGACCATGTACTCTCCACTTATGCTGTGTTTAGGAAAGTTTATGTGAACAGGGACGAGATTCAACAGATCGCCAGGTGAGCACAGTAAGAAATTCAATCAAAACACGTTCCCCGTCCCCGTCTTCCCGTTTTCCTTCACTAATTTGCGTCCTTTTCTTCCGTCAGTATGTTACGTCACAATCAGGAGACCAGCGACAAGCCTCAAACGTTACGCGTGGGAAGCTTGGTGGTTAAATCTCTGGGACAACTTTTGCCTCATCAGCTACAATCGTTCCACACCAGAGACGCCGTGTATCCGGTGAGTCATTTTTAGTTATCAACATGCACGTCGCCTTTCTTTACTTTCAGTTTATTGTGTTTAGTTCGATTTCTGGTTCATTTGAATCTGCAAGCATTAGTCAGGGTGCTCTTTGCTTAATACGTGCTCTTACTTGTTGCCGCAGGTTGGATTCAAGACAATTCGTCTCTACTGGAGCATGCGCTCTGTGAATCGCCGCTGTAAATATCACTGTGTGGTTGAAGACGCGGAAGGTTCACCAAGTTTTACCATCAGGGTTGATGATGATGGACATGATGAGCAACCGGTGTTCAGAGGAAAAACACCTAGAGGTAAATTCTCAACTGGTTGGTACCAAGCGAGTACAGTTTTCTTTTTTTTTTTTTTCAAGCAAAAATATACCGAGAATGAAACAGTAACAGTAACAGTAACAGTAAGGAACAAAGTAAAATTTCTGTTTATTTATTTTAAATATCTGTCGTTTTGAGACATTGGCGTGGAATTATCTTTTCTCTGTTTTTTTTTTTCTTGACAGATGTATGGCAGCAGATTCTTGTTCCTATTTTAAAAATGAGGAAAGAAGCTGGTCTGGTGAACTTGTTCCCTCAGTACATCACTGGTGAGGTGAGTGAAAAAGGGATTTATTAACTGGTGAAATCGTCATGCGTCTTGCTGACCGTTTTTGCTTGACAGTAGATCATATTGAAACAAATTTGAGTCTCTTCCTCTCTCATATTTTACTTACAATACGGACTTTCCCTCTCCTTCAAGGATCTGTTTGGTTTGTCGGAGCAGTACGTCTTGCGGATCATCGAGTCGGTGAGGAGCCAAATTGTCTATTTGTTCTTTTATATTTTGATACGGAAAGTATGGTGCTTGACCCTGACTGATTTTAGTATCCATTACTATTTTCATACTTCTGTTTAATATAGCTTTGAGTTATGACAATCGGCATAGTACAGTTTTCACTGTTTTTAAAGTATTTTTACTTTTATACACGTGTTTTTAGATGCCTGGTGTCGATCAAATGCAGGGATACAACATGCGTTATGGCCCGTCACCCATCATGGAGCTGCCGCTGGCGGTAAACCCCACGGGCAGTGCTAGATCCGAGCCCCTGCTGAAGTCACATTTCAAGAGCGCAAGGTACGAGGACCTAAATCACGACACCAAAATGGTTCCTGCGGCTAAGACCTTTTTAAATTTTACTTTTTGTCCTGCTAATCCGCCAGTCTTCACTCTGGAGCGCTTTTTGATTGAATGTCGTAAGACGTAAAAGTAATCAACACAACAGCCAATCAGAGGAAAGGAATATGCATTTACGATCCGACACTCAATTGAAAAATTTCTCTAGCATGACAATTTCGTGATTAAATTTCGACGTTCAATTGAAGGTTGTGTTAAACTTGTACTTGTACTGTCTGATACGTTAATAACTGATTTCTGTCTGGTTGCTTCTGAGACGATTTCTGTCTGGTTGCTTCTGAGACTTGGAGGCCTGTGCATCCGATGAAGAAAACATCTGTTCATATCTTATATTTCTGTCGTTTTAGAGCACGCGCCCTTCGATCGGCCACAAGTTCTGGTTCGGCCGTGTCCCCCGCGGCCACCGTTGGTGGAGCAGGGAACTCGGAGGAGTCATCCGGACTGTACCTCAAACAGTTTGTCTACTCCAAGGCGACACAATACCGCAAGCTTAAAACCGAATGGAAAACCAACGTTTTCCTGGGAAGATCGAATATTCAGGTAAGACAGTTTCATTGATGATTCAAAGTGGCAGACAAATGAAATTATAAACGATGCATCGATCCCTTGGTCATGAACGTTATATACAATGGAGTTTTTCTTTTAGGACAGGGATATCATATTTTCAAACAGTATACAAGTTTTAGTACCAAATCTGTGACCCAAAACACATCAATTACTCGTACATGCAACGTCCGAAAAATTGCGTGTATGTACAACCCCTAAGTCCTACCTTGCACGCTTGCTTCACACTATATGCGATAAGTTTGAAAATAGTCATCGTAGTTTAGTCGTATTTAAGCAAGTATTTTTATCCAACTTGTAAAAACTCCCTGATGAAGACTGCTATCGTCAGACGAAACGCGCAGGAGATTAAATCAAGTTATTCTATTTTAGTTCGTTTAGTGCTGCCTACTAGTTTATCATTTTAAAAGGGTCAAAGAGGACCTCAAAGACTCTCTTAAGGGGACCAAAATTATTTGAACTGCTAACGAATTCTTGCCATACGGACCTCTGTTAAGGTCGGCACACACGAGGGGACTAGTCCCTGCGACTAGTCCCGACGACAAGTCTTTGAAGGGTTTACGCGAGGGGACCGGTAGTAGGGACTAGTCCCTTAAGGCGTTCACACGAGGGCACTCAATTGCACAAGAACATAGGAAAATTAAGAGGCAAAAGATGTTTCTTAGTCTGGGGCGTTACACGAAAACAATGAAAATTTGGTAACTTTTCATTGTAGCACTACTAAACATCAACGCAAATGAACTACACTTGTTC